TATTAGTTTTGCTTTAGATCACTTCTATTCTCCATTGAATACACTGTGGTTCAGAATCCCCAAAAAATAACCAGTAAATTTTGCTATGAAGTCAGAAATTAATTGATTCAGTTTATATTTTCTTTTCCACTGACCATTTAATGTCATTTTTCTGTCTGGAAAGTAGCCAAGTTCAGAGAACCATCTGAGTTCTACTATCCCCACAGAACCACAGTCCCCTCCATTCAGTCATACTGCGTGAGTGTCCCTGCTTGCCAGTCTTGGTCACAAGAAATAATTGACAAAAATCATTATTGGTTCTTGTGGCTCACCAATCTTATCAAGTTAGTCTTAGAATAAACTGATTTCAAAAGGCCTTGGGAGGTTGTTGACTGCTCCAGCCTACCCTGGAAGCAATCCATTACCCACAGCAGCTGTGTCCACTCTGCTGAGTTAAAAATACATGTGCTTGTTTATTCTGTTATCCCAGCAAACAGCATAGCTTCCTGTCAGCAGGTAATAACCTTGGCCACTTAATCGTTCAGTGCACAGGAACATTCCTGCCATTCCATTAGGAAGCGAATTCTAGCAGATAACACAGTGCCAGTCAGTACAAATGCAGCATCAGAGGCCACTGTCAAGAATGTAGCTAGGATACAGTGTTTAATTTTAGAGAATTTAATAAAGTGAATTCCAAGTTAAATGTGATGTCAACAATATCTTGCGACCTCCACTGGCAGCTATTTTTACTCAACTTGAGATAGGATGATGACTTGACTGCAATGTGAGAGGGTCTTAATACAGTATTTATTTTTAAACAACATTCAAAGTGCTTCAGTGGGTCTTAAAAATAGAAAAATAATCAAAACAAGGAGTTGTCATCTTGGCTGCCCAGATTATTCAGGACCCAAGACATATATCCCTGAAATATTTTTCCCAATTAAAAAGAGAAATAAAAATCAAGCTTCCACCATTGAAAAAGATAATATTAAGCCACTTGCATTTTTAAATGCTTTATTGTCACATTACTCTTAAGGCTTAATAGTCTCACTTTCACACATATAATGTGTGAAATTAATTACTTAAGGAGAGCCCCAATGAGCATTAATGAGCTTCAAAGCTTATCACTGCATGACAGAGTAAGATCATTCTATCACCTGCCCCTTTCACCTGCCCATAATTTGATAGGTGTGTGTTCTCCAGTACTCACAAAGCATCAAAATACACATTCTTCTTAAGAGGCTTTAGTCATACCTCTTTCAGTCTAATCATCAGAACAGCCACCACAAAAATGGCAGGTAACAGAGTATTCTGCTTTGGGAAGATGGAGTTCAATTACTCCATTTATTTTCAGAAATATAATTTACTAAAAGAAAAGAAGCATGCCTGTTTGCTGACAACAACAGAATTACAATTACTTTCCTAAGTCAGTGTAAGCACCTAAGAAAGCTAACCAATGAGGCTGGATTAAATACCATCAGAAGTCTGAACCAGCGAGATCTAAATCATATATAGCTCCAGACATACCACAGATAAAAACTGCAGAACAAAAATACTTATTCTGTTTAACATTCCAGTGCCAATGCCTTTAAAAAAAGACTCATGACATGAAAATCACTTAATTCAAGCAGCAGCAGTTGCTTCTGAAGAAAAAAAAAAAAAAAAAAAAAAAAAAAAAAAAAAAAAAAAAAAATTAAACATTAAGTGGAGGGATGAGTGCAATGCCAGGAAAGAAAGAAATTAATTACTGAGACTTGCCAGGATATAGGTACATCCAAACTTGAAGGTAGTTATGCATGAACAAAAAGATAAAATAAACTTTTTGGTGTCTTGTCTCACCAATGCAATCATGACTGGAAGACAAACATCCCTATAGACTTTTTTCATGCCATACAACTTGGACATTATGTTTGGAAAAACAGTTGGGGGAAAAAATGAGCATCAGGGTGCTTCAAAAATTATCATTATCTTCTGCTGTCCCCTAGTGGCACCGTAACTTCTTTCACAAAATTCATGAAAGAATACTTTCATCTGTAGGCTTCATAGGTTACAGAATAGAAGGCATCAATAGAAATTAAAAGCCAGAAGAAATTAGTTTTGCAGGCAATTGCTACAAGCAGCTTTTATTTAGAGTTTTTGAAACTAAATCCCAGAGGAAACACTGTAATCTAGTGTTTTAAACCACTGACTTTTCTAAGAAATTGTGTGGCAAATATAACACTGAAAGTATTTACTAGACTGCCCATGACATTGTCAGTATTTTAGAAAGTCTGTCAGTGAACTATTTAAGACTTTGAAAGCAACTGGAAGAAACAGCTTCTAGTCACTCTAATTGTAGCATACCTTTCAAGTTTATTAAAAAAAAACCCACTCAATATATGTCAATTCTACTATAAAGCAAAAGTATTACTGGATTACACCCAGATTTTCTCGATCTTACTTAATAAATCAAAAATGCAGGAGTTGCAACTTATGTTCTTCAGCAGGGTAAAATGCAAATGAAATGTTTCTTAGGGAACACAGTGGCCTTATCCACTTAAAAATAAACTGCTACCTCTTGTTTTAGATCAAGCTTTGCAAAATTGTAAGATGTATGTGGGAACACGTCCATGATTGTTAGTCAAAGGTTTTCCAGCCCCTTCCCCAACATATTTTCTCTCCTTTCATATTTACTTTCATATCACAAAATAATTTGACTTCAAAAGTAAACACTATTTGGCATCCCAGTTTTAATTACAGTTTAACACAGCCCCTTAATTAGATGAGATATTTAATTTAGCTTTCATTCTATGCAATTATATTCTCATAACCCATGAAAATTTGTAATTATCTCGAACCTCATTAATGAGGACTACTAAACTGCAGTTCAGTTCATTTTTATCAAGTTTCCAGAAGAAACACAAGCTTCTCATATGAACTTTAGCTATTGAAAACAAATGAAGCTTCCTCCTCAACACTTAGATTTCAATGAGAAGTACATTGTCAATTACCCACATCAAAAACTGCATTAGCATATTTACTTATTGCATAGTATTTATTTAAAATTATTAGACATCTCCCTTGTTTTGTTTTCGAAAATTTATTTCATGCTAAGTTTTAAGTTTCCTAAACAAATTTCCTTCTAGGACTGTTTTACCTTAAGGATGGAGACAGCCTGTGTGTTTCTTCAAAATGAATGCCCAGTATAGGCAGAACCTGCTGATCCTTGTATGAGATTAGGAAAGAGAAAATACCCATGAAGCTTTTCCTACAGAAAAGATTTTTTTTCCCTGTCAGTCAACACCCTCCAGCTCACACAACTTGCTCAGATGTACTCCCAATTTCTGTAAGGTCTCCCTACTGAAAAATTGACATAGAAGGAAATGCAATCAACATCCCAGCAAGGCATCCAGCACAGCCCACAGTCCCTGAGACAGACACCCTGCCCCAATTTTCTGTCTAAATCTGTCCCTCGAGCAATCACAGAAGGCTGCACTTAAGAGGCCACTGAAGACAGACCCTTAAGGCTGCCAGGCTAAAGTCCTCTCAGAGGACATTTGAATAAAAGCATTATGACAAAGAGTTGTTTGACTTTGCATTTCTTTAGAGCTGTTTCCCCATGCTAAACTTAGTTAAAATTGCTCTTCTCAGCTCCTACTGAGAATAGGGAAAAGGCCTGAGGATTACAACTCCAGGAAGGTGCTTTAACTGAGTGACATGGCTCAGAAAGAATATCAACCAGTATCCTAAACCCTGCCAATTAAACAGTGCCAAATACATTGTTTTCCTTCCATGATGACAGTGTGCCATGAAGACAAAATTACAAGCCTTCTGTGAATCCACTCAGGATTAAAAAAAAAAAAAGAAAGAGAAAAAATAAAATTTAACAGAACTCTAACCAAGCCTATATGCTTTTCTCTCAATTGGTATGCATAAGATTACATCTAAATTTTAAATTAGCAAAATAGCTACGTGTTTTATCTAATTATATACAACACTCACTGACTTTATTCATTGACAGGTTTTTTTCAAAGTCATTTAAAAATTTATCACTCCCTTCTATCATAGAAGATCAGAAAACTGAGAGCAGAGAGACAGAATGGGGCAGAAATGTCACCAATTACAATGAAAACATGGCTAAAACATCTACATTTTGAAAGAGTGCGAGAAGTGCATTGGCATGGTACAGTCACCAAAATTTACAGTCTTCTGATCCAGGAACACAGATCTCAAATTGTTATAGTGTTGAAATCCTAGTCCTAGTAACTGCTCTATCATTAGGTTTGACAACTGCCTGTATTGCAAGCTCTACTACAAACAAATTAAATTAGAGACAAGATATAATGCTAGGCCTTGCATTTCATCCTTCAGATAATTGCATGAGGTTTTTGATCTCCTGAATTATATGCAGTAACAGCTTCTATTTCACTTAAAAATCTACTTCAGAGATGAAGGACCTGGTTTACAACAGTGTATCTGGGTAACTCCCATCATAAAAGCTTAGCCACAAATATTTTAACTAAAGCTGTGCTTAAGTATATAATTCCACAAAAGACTTAGAAAATTAAAAATTTAACCTGTAATTAACATTTGATTCCTTCCTCCCAAGTTAAAATAAGGAAGAAATAGTTCCATTCTTTTGAAGAGTCTTCACAAAGAAATTGGATCCACAGTGTAAAACATTACTTATCTGTAAATGTCAGTAGCAATACAAGCTTTTCCACTCACATACACACACTCAACTCATCCTTTGAAGTAATCCTGCCAAGGGAAAAAGGTTTTCTATTTCCCCCAATAATTGTTCCTAATCAGATGGAACAATCAGGGATACTTTTGTCTGCTGTAACAAGTCTCTGAAGCTCACTAAGAAATTATTAAGTTAAATCATTACTCCTTACTAATCAAAAGGGTCTCTTAGTGATAACAGCCTTTTTCTTTCTAATTTATATCTTAATTTTTTTCAATGAGTCTTTAGCCAGTGATCTGTCCCTACAGAAATCTTGTTTTACACATTAAAATACTAATGAAAAGTGAAAACAAACCTGGCTGTTCTTCCCACTCTGTGGATATATGTGTTTGCATCTTCTGGACAATCAAACTGAATGACCCAATTCACTGCTGGAAAATCTGTGTAAAGAAGAAAATACAACAAGCAAGTTCACTGGACTCAAAACCCTCCTATGCAAGAGCATTAATTCCTGTAACAACCATCACTTGGACCCATTTACAGACACTAGGTGCAAACTCTGAAATGTTGCATGCATTAGCATACACAAACAATCACTCTCTTCATCAAAGTAAGTTAAATTAATTGTGTGTTCATTTCCTAAATTATGACAGTGCAATGAATGGAACATAATTTCACACTTGACAAGAATAGACATGTTTTGTATCACACAGATGATAAAACACCCTATGGTTAATAATTATACAACAATATCTGACCCACTTTTAATCCTTACTGTTAATATGCTACACCACTGGGGTCTGAAGTTAGCTGTGGTGAGACTGCATCACTTCAGCTGTCACATACAGAAATACAACAGCCCCTCTTAAAAGTGGGAGGGGGTGACCAAGCCTGACAAAAGTCAGCCTTGACTGTCAATGGTATTAATAATAAGCATTTTCCAACTGCTGCACTTCACTCAGCAGCAGCATGCTTTGCACTGAAACCAAATCTGCAGCTATACAGTATTCCAGAAGTATACCCACACTCTAAACCAAACTAACCATATGCAAATTAGATAGTCACTGGTGAGATTTCAGCAGTATGGAAGGTATAAGTACCAGTTTCATTCCTGACTTCAGTTTTTAGAGCACCTTCTTTCTTTTTGTAACACAGTGACTAAACCTCACATTTTGGACAACAGAGTTTGCTATCTCAAAGAATGACTGGACTCCTGAAAAGTCTTGTGTTATACTTAAATGCCTCCAAGAACTAAAAGAAAAAAAATTATTTTACCCTCATTTATTTTTCTGTCTCCTTATCAATACAGTCCCACAATGCCACTCATCTATCAGACATTAAAATTTTAGGTTTCCATTTCCACATATCAGTAGGTTAGCAATTTTTCATATCCTTTGAAATAACCCACAGGATACAAGCATATCAGAAATACTTAAAACTGCTGGAATCTTGCCTTACAAGTAAAAAAATACATCATTGATACATCACTGTTTACCTACCACGTTTCTCTTGGATAAAAAGAAAATATAAGAACAGACGAAGTGGGCTGCTTCAGTAAAGGAACAGCAGAACTCTAAGAAGCATCTCTTATTTTGAGCTTCATTTTTCAAAATTACAGCTTCATTTTTCAAAAACTGGGTCAGTCTTCAGAGTATAATGTCTGATAAAGCTTCAACAGGTTTAGCTGCTGCTCCCCTCCTAGGTGGATACCTACCCAGGCCACGAGCTGCGATATCCGTAGCGAAAAGCACTGCTGCCTTTTTCCGAACAAAACAAGTGTACACTTCCATTCTCTTCATCTGCTGCTGCTTGCCATGGAGTGCCAGGACAGGAAGACCAGGCTGAAGCTTACAAAACACTCTGAACAGATACTGAACCTACCCAACAAATCAAGGGGGAAAAGAATTACCATGCGCTGTTAAACATGTTAAGATCATATACAGTGGATATAGCAACTGAAACTGTACACCAAATTAAATAAACTTTTCTCCACATCAGAGAAAAAAGATGTTGAGACCTTGTTACACAATCAGGTACTAAAAGATAAAAGCAATTGTGGCAAAAGACTGCCAGGCCTTTTGATGGCATTTCCTAAAGGAAACCAGAGGAGGTAACAGCAAGAACAACTTGGGACATGAGTACTTAGGCTGTATGCAAAGGACCAAAGTCCATCTGAAAAGTCCATGAGAAGCACTTCTTTTAGACAGTACTGGAGGGGTGCTGTGTTTTATACTTGCAACTTAAATCAGTCTACAGTCTCAGTTTACTATTTCAAGTTTCAACATGTTCTCTTATAAAATCAGCCTGTTTACTCTTACCTACAGTATCCATGATGCAGCATTGTTTTACAGCAGGCAGCTACCTAGCATCTTTTTAAGAAAGTAGTTACATAAATTGTGTATACTGCTGAACAGCTGCAGCTCCAAAAATTTCTGCACAACTAAGCTGACCACTTCAGTGCCACCAGTCAACTGCAGAACAACAAAAATATCACATCCTCTTCCACAGGTGAAAGAACTGCAATGAATATTTACTAGGCCATTGTAAAATGGTCTATTACTGTAAAATACTAGCCTTGTATTACACTAGTAAGCAATACCTGCACTGTAAAATACTTGATACATGCAGTAGTTATAGGTACAAATACCTGTGCCAAACAAACACATGCAAATAGCTTCAACAGAATGGTCCCAGGACACTTACACAAGCAGGTACTTGAAGGATTACTTTCTATGTAAGAAAAACCTTTGCCAGTACTATTTCACAATCACACCTTCTCAAACAGGCCCATTTAAAAGCTTGTAAGGAAAGCAAGTACAATTACTGAAATACTTTGTAAGCTAACTATGAAACATGTCAAAAGACAGAACTGAAATAGCTGGGCCTTACTGACATTAACTTTTAGCATTCATTTTGAACAGCAGACCACAAAAATGGCTGAGAACATTCAGGTCTCCAGAACCTTCCTGCACTGAGCCTGGGTCACTGAACTGCCTCAAAGCCAGGTCCCGAATGACATACAGCAGTAGGTGATGTTTTGTTCCTCCAATTTCCTGTTGCAAATTAGTCCACAATCTCACCTGTCTGATGCATTGATACCTATATGAATACCTTCATTTATCAGTTTTTAAATTCTGGGGCAGAAGGAGGGAGAGAAAAAACATACCTCTTTACAGCTTGCAAAAAACACAATGCTCTTCTTTTTCAAATGAGTTCTCAGGAAGGAGTATAACATGTTTACTTTTTGCTGAAGCTCACAGACAACATAATTCTGATCCAAAGTTGCTGGGGTACTAAGGAAGGAAAAAAAAACCAACATCAAAAAAGTTCATTTAGATAAATCACAGAAATGTCTCACCTTTCTTTTAAGCCAAGAGTGTCTTATACATACTCAGAAAAAGGAGAAAAGAAAAGGAATCAGGCTGGAAAGCTCTCCCACTTGGAGAAACAAGTCTTATCAGTTTCATAAGAAAGCTACATCAATTCCCTTATTAAAAGCCAGTGGGGAGGGACAGATGACTTTTGACATTACTTCTAAATTCATTTACTTCCAGCAAGGCAAACTTTTCTTGTCTAAGCAGCGACATTCAAATTGCCTTGACTTAAAATGCAGTTTTGTCTATTAGTCCTATTAAAGCATCATTTGTGCTTAAGGCAATGTCAAAGCAGAATCTAATCACACACAAAAAGAGAGCATTGATGTACTTGTACTGATTACACTGAGATGCAAAGTGACTTTCTAAAGCTCTGAATTGTCATCTGAACTCACATTTCTGTTCTTAAAAGCAGAAATAAAACAAGAAAAATTATTTGGGATATTTGCCCTTGAAACACATCTAAATGCTCATCCTCCTTGACTTCACCCTAAACAGACTGTGGGTATTCAAAATTACCTTTCTAAGGTGGTCGCTTGGGAGGATGAAATTACAAGAGACTCCTCCAGTTTTCATTCTGCTATTTAATTTGAATTACACCACAGCACTTTTTGCTCTCTACATCTTTCAGAGGAAATTGCTTTTATAAGGCAATAACCTAAGGCAGTAAACTCTAAAACAAATTAATACTTACCTTTCTTTTAATTTGGTTTGTTATCTAATTGCATTCTCCCAAATATTTAAAAAAATTAAATGTACTTTAAAATAGACTTCACTGAACATGGGAGATCTGTGAAATAGATAGTCACCAAAATGAAGACTGCATACGAGGCTTGTACATTCTCTTCTGATAAAAGGGTATTAAGCCATACTTTTTTTTCTGGCAATCATGTTTATTTAAGATGCCTTTGATAGTACTAATGATTAAAAAAAGGTATTTGAAGTACAATACAAAGATAATCAAATCAAATAGTTAAAACTTCTTCAAGATTCAATTGCATGGTTGTGCCATGCATTTTCCTGACGATTTCTTGTTTGCTCCCAGGAAAACCATTTTTATCTCTGTGCTTCACCTTTCTCCTGCATCTCACATATGGATATATGCATATTTCAGAGAAGAGCAGAAAAAGAATCATCCATGCTCATAAGTAATTTGACACTCAGATGAGCGAGCCCACAGAAATGCAAAATAACATTCTTCATTTGGATTTCAAAAGAAAATTATGTGCCAAAAAGCAACATTCATTTAGTGATACATTACATTTTTTGAGTATGGCACACCACATACTTCCCTTCCAGCAAGGACCTCCCATCCTACTCCTAACTGTAGGGCAGGACAAATCTATTTAGTGCACACAGGGCCAGAGCCCTAAACATGCATAGAAAACACAGCACATCAGGAAGCCACAGGAGTTACCACACATCAACTAACAGCACACGCTTTCTTTTGGGCACCTAATACTGAATACACAAGCAAGACTGCCATTCTGCACTTTCCCAAGAGGAAAGCACATCCTTGGGAAGCCAGATTTACAAATGGCACACAGACAAACTATCTGTGGTGCTTTTGCACAGTAAGCACACACATATGGGAGGCAAGGATGCTGAACAGCAGAAAAGGAGTTACTCAGAACTGGGTGCTGCTAGACCCAGCACACTGGCTATAATCCACTCTGCAGCTTCCTCCTGAGGAAAAGAATTTCAAGTCTGAGAAGCTGCCTGAGGAGTCAAGACAAGCACAGGTTCAGCCTCCCTGCAGTGATTCAGTCAGAACTAGTCCCCTCTGGAAATTCCTTGCTTTCAGGAAGGCAGACAGCAGGATCAGACACTGATCCAGTGATGGATGCACAATGCTACCTCTGATTCAGGGAACTGTCAGAGCAGCAGTTAAATAGGATCACTATCTAACCCTCCACAGGGTGAAAAAAAAAATCCCAACATACCTGAATTTGGCTTTCTCATGAACCCAAACATATTCTGGATCTTTCAGACTCAGCCGTGCAAGATCCTTCACAGATTTTGTTTGTGTTGCAGAAAAAAGCAAGGTCTGGCGTTTCTTAGGTAGATTTTCTATGATTGCATTCATTGTATCAGCAAACCCCATGTCTAGAATTCTGTCAGCTTCATCAAGAACTGGATTGAAAGATAAATTTGACAAAAAACTGGGTTTAGATTTATTTACTGAAAAAAATCTACATTAAATCCATGTAGCACAAAATTCTATCTGTACTTAAAATGCAGAAATTAACTACTGTACATGACAGCAATCTCTTTAGGTATCCCTGTACTTCATAAAACATGTTTTTAAAAATACCTGCAACAGAAATCATAGCATTTCCCATAATCTGTGCACTACAGCCCTCAGTTTCACATGCAGAAGGAAAAAGATCAGCATCTCAAGTGAACAGTTTGGCAATTTGCAAACAGACTCCCTGTCCTTTTACTGAAATAAAAGCACGGAACGTAAAACAATGTTGTAGTATTTGTGACAGAGCAAAACACTCTCCTGTACCTAAGCTAAATTTACCATTGAAATATAGAGTATAAACCAAGCAGCACAGAGACAAAGCTTTAAAAGCGCCTACATTTAATGCAATTCTCGTCTGTCATGAATTGTACTAAGTGTAGCAAGCATAATTTCACATTTTATCAGCTTCATTAGCTTCTTAATTGCTTTTAAGTTCCTCAAGCTATGCTAAGATTATGCAGCTCTTAGAAGCAGGCAAACCTTTTCATTGCACTGAAAATTTTTGTTCAGACTGGGAAGATGAAAACAAATAATGGTAACAATGCAAACAAAAGAATAAAAGGAGTGGAAATCTGTCTTAAAACACAAAGACTATGTTTTCTAGAACTGGTCCAAAATACACACACTGCAATGGATATCCTATATAGCTAGTCAACTATCATGTCAGGAAAGACACAAGAGCCATAGCCAGAAAGGTAAGTTTAGCATTAGTAAAGACAAATGTAAAAGATTATATGGGGCACTACACTGGGGTTTGGGTTCCTTACTAAATCCCCTGCTTCTTTTCATCCTAGGGATGGCATGCTCATCAACTGCTTCAGATAAAGTACACACAAGAAAGGGATTTTGCTGTTTTCTTATTTAATCTGAACATGTGCAAGTTTAAATGCCATTTCATCTACATAACATGACAAGAATAAATTTTTTATGCAAAGAAGTGCTGCACACAATTATGAGTTGTTACAATATACTCCTGAGTACTTTCAAGTACTTAAAAAACTTACTCAACATTTGCAGATCTGATGCATAGAAATATGATGTTTCATCCATGTGTTGTAAAAGCCGTCCTGGAGTGCAAATTAGCATATTTATGTGGTGGATTCTTTCAGACTCCTCTTTCAGATCCTGAAATGGAGTTAATCCATCTTAGCTCTAGTTGCTTAGACTAGAAGTCCAGTACCAGTTAGGCCAGTTTAACCTATTAACAGCTCTTAGAAAGAATAGTCAAGGAGCAGCTTTCCTCTTCCCACAGATATGCCACCATCTCTTCAGCATGTTCACATCTGTGGCTTGAGGAAAAGGTATTTCAGAGTAATCTAAATTAAGAGGATAGTCCTGGAAGACTTGGCAGGAAGGTCCATCCAGCCACGGACACTGCAAAGACCTTAAATATGCCTCAAAAAGCTTCAGAAAAAAGACAGAATACACACAAGAAAATAGTGGGTCACTGATAGGCTCCCATTAACCACTCTCCTCCTTGACTTTCCAAGCCCAGGGTTTCCTTCCTTAACTAGCACTTAATGCAGCACTCAACTATGCTTCCATACAGCAAACTCCAAGAGAGGACACACACCTTTCCTCCAATGATAAGGCCAGCTGAGAACTCATGGTTCTTCCCCACTCTGCGCAGAACCTTGAAGGTTTGATAGGCCAGCTCCCGGGTAGGTGAGATGATCAACACCCCCAGGCCATCAGCTGAAGTCCACTGCTGCCGATAGAGGAGCTCCAAAGCCTGAAAGAAGTGACCATGTTATCACCACAAAAATCTCACAAGGAAAATGTGCAATAAGTTGGTATCAAAGTGTAATTAAAAAAAAAAAAAGACAAAGCCACGTTAATTAAAATAATGATATGAAGAAACATCAGTGTACACTTTATATGGTTGATGATATATAAATTCTAACTAATGGTAATGACACTTGCTGTTAAGCAAAATTCTCCAGTACCAATCTAAGACAGACAGTAATGAGTGGAAAATCATAAACACTTCACTGCACAATTAATCCTACTCTGCTAAATTCTGGAAATTAGGCCATTTATATGATAATAGGAATCAGTACAGAAAAACATGAGAAATTTCTCTGCTCATGAGGTTTTGTGGGAACCAGGAATACAGTGAGCACCTGGAAGAACATTAATTATTGAAGCTTTCATTCTGGCTTATAGACTTGAAGCAGTCTATCTACATATTACATATAGAATGTTCCAACTAAAGTTGGAGGATTATGCAGAAACACTCTATCAGTCAGCTAATCCTAACACAAGGACTTTAAGGTATGAATATCTGAAGCCTTATATCTGAAGAAATACAGAGTGCTGGTAATTCATACTTGCACAATGAATTTTTTTCCACTTCTCAGCTCTTCAGCTCCTCTCTTAGCCCTCTTCTCTAAAACTGTTTTAAAATAAGGTTTGCAAAACTAAGTACATCTACTCTTATATTAAATAGTAATCTCACTTGTTTCTTAAATTCACAAGACTGGTGAAGCCACCTACATTTTTTTTATTCACTACTAATAAGATTTTTTTTTTAAGCAGCATAAATTCTTTACTAGAGAGGGTATTCAAAGCACCTACTACTGTTCTCACAGTAATAGGCTCCAAAGAAATTTATGCTTACAAAAATGCAAGTAATGTTCAACAGAGTAACTCCATAAAAAAAACTTCTCCCCTCTGGGGTTTGTATCCGCTTATATGTGCACTTTAAGCACACGTCTCAACTGAAGAAATGAAATGCAGATCATGATGCTTTGAGTAAAACTGTCAGACATGTACATCCATTACAGGGATTTTCATCTCACTTTTCTGCTTGCCCCTAGAAGTGATTTCCAAGGAGTTGACAGGAAGTCCACAATCACTAAGGTTAACTTTCTTATGTAAGGTCCAAATTGTAACATTTTAAAGGAGTGAAAACCAGTCATTAAAAAATCTAAGGAACTGAAAATCCACCATTCTGTTTCAAACAGCTAGTTTTCAAATGCCAGAAAAATTGGACAACTAGAGTTGCACCAGGAAAACATCCTTGAGAGAAAAACAAAGCACTTTCTAAACCACACAGGGTCTACTAATGTAAGGATCAAAATGAAACTTTTAGGTTGCAGAATATTCCTAGCACAAAAAATACACTTCTTTCCGAAGCTCAAGCAGCTTTATTCAATTCCTAAGTATCTTGGCTTTCCTGAAACAGACCAATTGGATTTTAACTTTTCTCTCAGGATCTACTAATGTAAACTGACTGACATCAGTATTTCAGAGATAACGTGGTTTGAGTAGAAATAGAAGGATGTAATTTACTTACTGGAACAATAAAGGCCAACGTTTTGCCCGATCCAGTCTTTGCAGCTCCAAGTACATCTTTACCTTGTAAAGCCAAACCTATGGTCTGCCTCTGAATCTCTGTTACCACACGATACTGAGATTCCTGCAGTCCTGGTATTTGCAGGGTGGGAAGAGAGAGGGTGGGAGGGGAAGAGGAACAAAAAAAAAGAAGAAAGAAAAAAAGCTAGTCAATTTTGTCTGGTTCACAACTGCATTGCTCTGCTTAGAAAATGCTGTACATGGCAATACTTACCTAAAACTTAGTTTAAAGAAAAAAAATGTTCAGATGCAGATAAACGACGTATTCCCTTTTACTTATATTATTTTTCTAAAGAAAAATTCTATACTCACCTTTTAGGGTTTTCTTTGACAATGGAAAATCTGAAAATCTTTGGATTTCACTTGCATTTATCTGAAACAAAATAATTTTAATCAATGCTTACAATCCAACCATAAGAGAGGAACTGAATAGCATTCTACAAATTGGTGTTAACATAAATATATTGTTCAGTATGACCTGATTCAAGTTTGCTAGTCAGGCAATCTATACTAGTTTGACCTAATCTAAACCACAGATTTACCATAAACTATTCAGTAAGTAATTATATACTTGAATAATGCAGGCTAATAGCACAATTTAAAGCTCAGACATCATGAAATCACTGAGAAATTTAGACTGAAGAGGGCCTCAGGAGGTCCCTGGTCTACACCTTACTAGAGCCCAGATGTCCTTTTCAGATCTGTGTTTTCAGATCCCAGCAGGGATTTGCTTGGGATTGTATCTCATCCTCACTGCAGCATGTATTTGGGTACTCAGAGCTGCAGCAATATTACATCTACCTGACTGACAAGAGTTCACTTATGTCCTGAAGCTCACCAGATTCACCAACCTCTAGCACTCGGTGAATTTAATTTTTTAGAACTGTCCTACAGGGTTAAAAAAATACTAAAAAAGTAGTTGATTGTCCTGGCACCTACTAACTTAATTCTCTGTATGCACTCATATTTGAGAGCTGTTAATTACACACACACAGAGTTCCCAATAAAAAGTGTTTGAGTCCATGAGTTTGCTCAATGATTTACAAAGATGAGGTGTCAAGTAGAGCTGTTGGAAAAAATGCAGTATTTTCAAGGCTGTTCTAGCAGATGTGAACAGCTCTCACTGGCAAATTTCACAACTAATAGTAGCAGGACAAAAAAAACCACAAAACTCAAGAAAACATAGAGACTACTGAATTTATAAAGCCTGAAAAAGAAGCCAGACTACACAGCTTTGAATGCATGCTGACTAAAATCCATAAACCCAGATTTCTAAATGTCAAACTTGGAGCTTACAACTCATGCATTTCTAATAGGTATTGTTTATCTCTAACAAACTGCTAAACAGAAGTCTCCCAGATCAGGGACCAAGCAAAATAGTCTTCAGACCCTCCTGACATCTTGTGTTAACAATTCCAGAAAAGGTTTCAGATAAAGAGCTACTGAGCTGTTAGATCAGCCTTGTATCTCCTTGAAGTACCAAGCATTTTACAGGCTCTGCCTGTTACAGAAAACTGAGAGGTTGTAGCTGTTTGAAGCATCTAAATCACAACAGCACTCTTTTCAGCCTAAGTCTCTCCAGTAAAATCAAGACAAGTAACTTAACACATGAATTTAATCTCTATAAATAAAAGGTAAAAACAGGTAAAAAGTTATAATGCTCTTAATAAAACCTGGTTTTGATACATTTCAAGGCAAAGCACTAGCAAGATAGATTTCAAGCTTTCACTGTGTCCTAACAGAGCAACTAAACTTTTGCCAAACATCATTTTGGAGGAGGGAAAAAATCCTACCAGAATCACCATAAAAAAGGTCTTTTTTTGACTTTCATAAATTGGAATTCTTGACAAATACTTTCAAATTCAGTTGGTATTTCTCAGTCTTACTATTTTGCATGCTAAATATTTACAACTCAGTGATGTGTACAGTTTCTGGTTCATTTCAGCCAAGAGACTCTCTGCATAGAAAAGCAGTAGGCCTACAGGAGGGAAAAGCATTTTACTAACATCAAAAAAGAATTCATGCAATCGATTATGTGCAGCTAAAGGGATAGATTTTAACAGGTTTGTGATACATCAAATAGGCTATCAGCAATCTGAAATTGTTCTAAATAATTGAAGTATTTCAGTAGTCAATTTCTTTTTAATTTTAGATGACTCAGTAAGAACAGATGTATTAATCAAAAAAGAAGACAAATATTGTTCCACTCTTCTAACCTCAGCTTCTGCAAATCAATTTAAAAATCATTACAAGCATAAGCCTAGCTCCTTCAAGGATGTCCAAGAAAAAAAAAGTGAGAACAGTATTGAAAATGCAAGGAATGTTGGGAAAGGCCACGTCACAAAGCTTCTTGTATTATTTCTCTGCCCTGAATATTTCCAGGAGCTGAATAATGTTATGTTGTAGAACCCTGGAACTCTGAAGGTACTGATATATTTTTAAGTCATGTCCAAATGGAAGGCACAAGGACTGATGTCTAAGGTAGATCTTCTGATAATCCTATTCCACATCTACATGCACCAGTGGAAAACACCACCAACTTCTACTTTTTTAGTTTGTTTCCTTCTCCAAAGTTACTACCTCTGCTCATCTGCTGGGAAGCTGTAACCATGAGCTCTCTCCAATCACCTCCATATGAGAGCAGCCAGCTCATTTCAAATATTTCAAATATTCTGATCTAACTTGACTAATCTGACACCAAGCAGACTAGAAAGGATTTTTCACAAACAGCTCCCCATCACATCAGTTAGGCTGTTAAGGCTTTTCATGAGCACAACTATTTGGAATAGACCAGGTCCATCAATGGCCTGACAGTCAGGCAACAAAGTTACTGAATCTACAGAAAAAAAGCTCATCTATGAACATATAACACAGAAAATGGTCCCATGATATGGACACACTGAAACTAAATTTTACATTTTCCATCTATGCTGCCACACGCTTGCCATCACATGTCAACAAATGGAAAAAAAATCCAGTAACAAAGTATAGTGGTTGAGTCTTCATTATTAATTTTGTCTTGTTTATCCACTGCAGTCATTCTCACACATGAAATCATGGACAGGAGGTCAAGCTGGATCATCTTGGATCCATCAGCCATTCTACCACTATTCCATGCACACATAAATCTAACCCAGGCACAGCCTGTGTGCCAGAGACCCCAGCCACTGCTCTTCACAGAGAGGAGCTCACCCAAAAGCTTCTACTTCCTTGTCCCTAAGGGATCTGCATCATGCAGAACTCACTGGAGACTGCTGATGACCCAAGCACATGGCACTTCTTCACAATTCCCACTCCTACTCTAACCAGATCCAGGGTAATATGGAAGAAACACTGGAGACCCAGTAGAAAACCTTGTCAAGGACCAGAAAAGACTATCTGAAGGACTGAAGACAGAAAGTTAGGTGCACATTCAACTGTATGTTCACAGGCAGGAGAATCCTGGAGCAAAAGGACAGCAAAGCTCCAGAAGAAGTGAGACCGTGAGCCCCCAGAACTATCCTAACACAAACATACATTTACTCTTTCTTAATTTTGATGAAAACATGCCTCAATGTTACAAGCCTCTTTCCTTCAACACCCAAAAACACACACAAACACAACCTTCCACTATCCAAGCCCCACCTATGCTGCCCCAAGCTGCACAATGAAGCAGAACTATCACCCAGGCCCAGAAACAGATACATGTGCAGTCACATTAGTGACACAGAAACATCCACAGGCATTCACATAGCCAAGAGCAGGAGTAGAGGAACATGCCGTTTGTTTTCAAACAGCAAAGCAAATGATCCAGTGAAGCTCAAGAATACTAACTTGCTGAATCTTAACTAATGGAGCTAACACGACCTCTTTATGGTAACAGATGTGTTTCTTCTACACCTCTTTGTCATTACTTTCTGCTCAATCAAGTTACAACCACCAAAAAGTCATTACCACCAGCTGTGCCGAGTGCTGCATAACCAAGCACAACTGCCCTGCAAACTCAGCAAAAGCTGGCAGGAGGCAGAGCAGCACCACAGGCAGCACACATCTAACCCGTTATTCACAATTACAGCGCTTTCCACTGATCAGTGTGATTCCAAAGCCGACTATCTCCCGCAGGAGTTCAAGGGGCTCTGAGAAACAAAACCAACACCACTCACTTCAGGTCTCACATTCAAACACCTATTTCCTGGCTTGAGGCTAAACATCACATTCATTCATACTGCTGGTTTGCCCGTCGTGCGTCTTCTAAGGAGACAAACGTGTGCTATCTCCAACACGTGGAGATACCCACGTTGCCTGGTGAGAAGGGCCAAGCGCCTCTGGTTACAACCTGCTCCAGCCTCCTCCTCCTCCTCGCTGCCCTTTAAACCACAAACTCCCCCACCTGAGGGTCCCACTGCCCCGGCTCCACAGCCTGTCCAGTCACCTCCACCAAAACCCCTGAACTGCGGCTGCCGGCCCCTGCTCCTCTGCCTGGGGATAAAGAACAGAGCTCCATCCCGACCTCGAGACAGTAAGAGCCGGCTGCCCGCCGCAGAGCAGTGCCACCCAGCACGCCTCTTACCTACGGGCACCTCCAACAGCCCTGCCGACCATGGACCTACAGATACCGTTCCTCCTCCCGGTTCTATCCACATACACGCCACACGAGGAAGGAGCCACTTTTCCATAAACCGCCGCGCACAGCCCCTGGCTCCCGGCCCGGCCGTACCTCGGGGTAGCGCTGCACCAGGCGGCCGATGTTCTCCCGCTCCACCTGCCACTCGGGCCGCTTCCTCTCCTTGCGCTGCAGCCGCAGCCTCTTCGTCCGCCGGGTGTACTTCTTCTTCCAGCGCTCGAAGCTGCGCACGGGGTCCATGGCGGCCGCCGCAGCCCCACCGCCGCCGGGCCGGCCCATGCTGCCCCTCCGCCCCGCGTGGGTCGCGCACGGCCGGGTCGGGCGCAGCCGGAGCGCGTCACTCCCGGGGCGGCGCCGCCGGCAGGCACCGCCCGGGCCCGGCCGCCGCCAGGGTGGGAAGTGTGGAATGTATCCCAAAGAGATGAGTTCGTGCCGCAGCGAGGAAATTACTGCAAGTTACTGATAGAGATTATGAAACGGAAAGGGAAAAAAATTAAAGCCTTGATAGAAAAGGGGTATGTGTATAGTGCTGGCGTAAATTTTGTCCTCAGCAGTGTGATTGGTGTGGGGGAATCACAAAACCATGAAATGGATTTGGTTGGAAAGGACCTTAAAGATTATCCAGTTGCAGCCTCTCTGGTGTGGGCAGGGGCACCGGTCACTACACCAGGTTGTTCAAAGCCCCATCCACCCTGGCCTTGGACACTTCCAGGCATTGGGCATCCACAGCTTCTCTGGGCAACCTGTTCCCGTGCCTCACCATGCTGACAGTGAAAAATTTCTTCCAAATGTCTAATTTAAATCTGCCCTCTTTTAGTTTGAATACATTCACCTTGTATCTCTACCTGCTTTTGAGAAAAGTCCCTCTCCACCTTTCTTGTAGGCCCCCACCAGGTACTGGAAGGCTACAGCTGGGTCACCCCAAAGCTTTCTCTTTTCCAGACTGAACAATCCAAATTCTCTCAGCCTTTCTTCACAGGAGAGGTTCTCCATCCCTCTGATTATCCTGGTGCCCCTCCTCTGCACTCACTCCAGCAGGTCCCTGTCCTCCCTGTGCTGGTGCCCCACAGCTGATGCAGCCCTGCAGGTGGGCTCTGAGCAGAGCAGAGGGGCAGAATCCCCTCCCTGGCCCTGCTGCCCACCATTGGATGCAGCCCAGGACACGTTTGGCTCTCTGGGCTGTGGGAGCACACTGACAGCTCATGGCCAGCCTCTCATCCTCCAGCACCCCCAAGTCCTTCTCAGCAGGGCTGCTCTCCATCTGTTTCATCAGGAGTTGCCCAGACCTATGTGAAGCACTTTGCACTTGGTGCATTTAAACCTGATGAAAGTCTCACAGGCCCAGTTCTCAAGCCTATCCGGCTCCCTCTGGATGGCATCCCATCCCTGAAGTGTGTCAGCTGCACCGCCCAGCTCGGTGTCATAAGCCCCTTTTTAGATACTGGAAAGCTATTATAAGGTCTCCCTGGAGCCTTCTCTTTCCAGCCTAAACAGCTCTCTCAGCCTGTCTTCATAGGAGAGGTGCTCTGTCACTCTGATCATCTTTCATGGCCTCCTCTGGACTTATTCCAACAGGTCCATGTCTTTCTTGTCCTGAGGACCCCAGAGCTGGAATGAGTAGTCTGGAGCTGAAATCGGGAGGAAGAATTCTGTGGCAAGGCTGTTAATCCTTTATTTGCTCATTCAGTACAGGGAAAAACTGAGAAATTTGGAAAAATCAAAACTCAGTTGAAAGACAGAGTAGGACTCGTGTTTAAGGTGCTGGGTTTAAGCTCTGACATCGCTTTGACCCTTCATAATACAGTTGTAGTCAGCCTTAATGGCCTTGGCTCAGAGCCTTGAACTATGCATAGTGTTGGCAGAAAGTCACAGGGAAAACCACAAACAGACAAAGTTGTCTTACACTGCGTGATGTAATGCTGGTGTCTGTAAGAGGCACATATCTCTGAACAAACTAGATTTAACCAACCTGCAGATTTATATTACACTATCTTTACGTTCACCAGTTTTTAACCCCTCCCAACGAGAAGGTCTGCATTGCTCTGCAGTTGTTCAGCGGTCAGAAACAATTCGCTGAGTGAGCTTTAGCCCTTCATCAGCACACAGAATTCAAAACAAAAACAGGCTGTGGAATTATTGTGCCACATCAGGAAGAGAAAATTACAAACATATTTATGCAATGGCATAAGACGGAAGTAAACACCTTGATGAGGGGAACAGTGAAAGACTCCCAAAATAATTGCTGTCTCTGATGAGGGTTTGGAATTCCAGAAAGCCAAGGGAAAAGGGAGTGTCTCTTAATTAGCTCCACTTTTGCCATACATATGTTAAGTGTATCACTGAAAGATGTTTTCCCTCTTCCCTGAGATCAGGGAAACCTATGATCATAGAAATATTTGGTTTCCCTTTAAAATCCATGAAGTTACTAATTTCAGGAGGGAATGGAAAAATCTCCCTTAAATATGCCCCAGGGAGATCTCTCCTCCCAGGTACAGCTTTAAACGCAATGTTTTTTTCTAGGGGTTTATTGCTGTGCAGATGAATAAGTAAGTATTCATAAATAAAACTGAAGGTTTTATTCTTGAAACAAAAATGATTTTATCCAAAACTACCTGATAAAAAGCTGTTTGCAGGAGATGCTGATCCACCGTGAAGGGTGTGCTTTGGGGGATGGCTCATGTTTCCCACAGTTACAGCACATTACTGTGACATACAAAACAAAGTCCCAATCTAGCACAGTCAGACTGTCACAGGGCTCAGCTGCCAGTTTAAGCATTTTATGTCTGCCTGTAATAGAAAAACATACAAGCAAAAACCCTCCTGTCCCTCCTGTCCAGTGCTGTCCAAGCACTGGAGTAAGTTTACTCTTTTCCTGAGTAAATGTACAGTAGAAGTGTTGTGTTGGAACATGCTGTCTTTGCTTACCTGGTCTGTGTTTTGCCTGCAGGGCTCATCTCTTTCATAACAGAACAGCAGCAGTATTCTGTGAGTCATGACAGACATAAATCCTCAATGAAAAAAAAAAGTAAAATCATATCTTGCCATCCTATTTCTAAAACAACTTTTTATGCTACTGTCATGAACGCTTTGAAGAGGTTCTGAAAAGCATGAAAGCATGCTGATGCTTTTTTAATGATTAATATGCTCATTAGCCAAGAGGTCCATATACCAGGAAAGGAAAACAGAAAGTCAAAACGGTCTTCTTCTATGTCCCACAGTACAAGGTAAAATGCTGGATGGAGCTCCAGGCTGGAGGTCTGGGAGCCTGCAAGGGCTCTGGAACTGCCCTTCTAATTTCTCTGGTCCTCTCACTGTGACGGGCCTGCCTGAGAAACAGTCAGGGGTTTGTGAAAGTTTCTCTCTTTTATACAGGAACAAACTCTACCTTGTAAAATTTCTAATAAGACATTTGAAATTTCAGTTGTCTTGTAATAGTACTATCCCTAAAACTGTGGCAAAACCAAAGGTCCTTCTGAGAGAGATTGAGAGAGACAAATGAGAAATGATTCAAATAAATTATTCAAGCACAGTTGTTTTCTTGTAATTTGAAGAAATGGAGTACAGCTGTAACAATAAAAGTAGCAAAGCCCTATACACAACCACAGAGAAGAAGGCAGCAATTTTTCACTTTAAACAAGACCTATTTTAGGAACAGTCATTCTCCATAGATTTCACTTTCATGCATACTCAATCTTTCCTACTCATAAGCATGAACATCTGTGTGTTTCTAAAGAGTTCTTTATGGTGAGGAGGACAAGGGGCACCAAGTATCAAGGTCAGGGCCCTGAGGGCACTCATAGACCTTAATGGCCCTGACCAGCCTCACCTCAGTCCTCCTCCTACAGCCTGGCACAGCTCCACCCTGCAGTTTCAGGGCCTGTCTGAGTTACGTCACATGTCATGTTGGTCCCCAACTCAGCCATGGCCATGCCTGTCTTTGGCCATAGATCCCACCAGCTGGGACCCAGAGCTGTAAAATGACTTCCTGGCTTGACCTCCATCCTGCTTTGTCACTGTGGACATGCCCAGTCACCAGTGACTATATCTGACCCTCATTATGGCCACCAGACCTCATCCTGATCCTCTTCCTTATCCTGTTCCTGTCCAGGAACTGATTTTTCCAGATTGACCTTGGACCTGCTTCAGATGTGTTTGATGAGGTGGACTCTTGGTTGACCACAGCTGCCAGCTGTGAGCACACCCTGCTCCCTCACTTATGGGTTGTGTGATCCTGGCTCTTAGGGAGCAGCCAGTCCTGGCTGTGCCCTGACAATCAAGCCCTCACCACTTTCTGGGTTCATCCTGAATGGTGACAATGGTTCGCAATCTCTGGTATCCTTGATATTTTCTCTTGAGAAAACCTCAGGGCCAAGCTGAGTTGTACCACACAGCTATAGAACTGTGTTTCATGGGGCTTTCTTCATGCCAAGGATTTAGAACAGTTGTCCCAACACCCAGATGTTGCCAATTCTCCATTCTGACCTATATTCCTTCTTGCATTTTGTGGTTGGTCATAATCTGTTGCAAGTGCATCACTCCCTGCACTCCTGCTCTACCATTTCTCCTGGTGCCTCATGCAGCCACATAGACTCTCATTCACATACCACATACCCCAGTTAAATATTGCCTCTGCAAATCTCTACAGGAATTTAAGATTAGTAAAGGTTGATTTTATTTTATAATAATTTTTTTTTAAATTATCACTGTGTTTAAGTTAAACTTTGGCAATCACATTAAATCCTTGATTGTTTTATACTAACATGCTTACTTTCCATTTTTCTACACCATTTTGATTATATACCTAAAGAAGTAATCAGCAAACCAGAGGAAGTGACCCTTGAAGGACCATTTGTCAGTGAAATACCATTAAAACCCTTCTCAGTAAAACAACCACATGCTAGGAGAATTTCCTCAATGGCTCTCAGTACTCTTATCTTCCGAGGCTCACTTGCTGTGCTTCAGGAGATTTGAGAGAAAGCACGTGAGAATATTCTGCCTGACTGTCTCTGAATGAGACACCCACAGTGAAAGGGTGGATCTTCAATGTAATATTTGCACTACTATGATGCAGATTCAGAGCAGTTTGGAAAAAGTAGAAAATGGCAGTCAGATTTGTAAGTTATTTTTAACAGAGGTAATGTTCCTATCAGACGTTATTAAGAAATTTTATCTGCCCAAAGGATGTACAATATGACATAGAAAAATTATAATCTCGCTTGGAAAAAGAAAAATCACTTTAAAATGAGCATTATTAGGTGTGATGGACAGACTTGTTCAGA